AGCCCCCCACCCGGCTCCTGGAGATGCTGGGGTTCTCCCCACAGCTTGATAGGAAGGTGATGGAGCGGGACCCGGCCAGCACAGGCACAGGACATGTCCGTGCCCTGCTTGCCCCTGGTCACAGGTAGCCTCAAAGCTATGAGAGGAGCTGGGTGCAGTAAGGAACCACAGCTGCCTGCGGTACGTGTGGCCTGGAAAGGGTTCCAGTGCCCATTGGGATGCAGGTGAGGAGCTCAGTGCAGCCACAGGAGGGGCAGGATGTGCGGGCAGAGCTGGGGCTTTGGGACACCATGGTGGTGATGGGTTGCTCTTTCCACATGAGACCTGTAACAGGTCGATGAGGAGGAGCAGGAGCTCCAGTTGGATGCTCCAGGGGTTTGGTTTAAACCTATGACCGCAGCCCTGAGACTGCTGCAGCAATGATGAAATCCCAAGCAACTTGGTTTTGCTATGGTTTCTCAACAAAGCCCAGACGGTTTGGACCATGTGGAAGTGGCTCCCATTGCTTTCCACTGGAAGGCTCCCTCCAGCCTGTGCTGGTGGAACAGGGCTGGGACCATGGAATGGAGCCGTAGAGCCAGGGATGGCCCCAGTTCTGCCAGCAGCACAGAGAGAGGCAGGAGCAGGGAGCCAGGGATGAGGGGTTCGAGGTCTGTGGGACCAGCACCGATTCACCCACAGCACCTTGGCCATGGGGTCCCCAGGGCTCACATCAGCCCCTGTCCCCCGCGGGTGCTGTGCCCCACAGGATGTGCTCCAGCAGCCAGGTCGCTGCCTTGGCCAGGCCCTGCTCCAGCCTCTCCTGCTCCGTGGTGCTGAATGGAGCTGGGCACCGGCACCGCATCCTCCGGCCGCCCGATGCTGACCCGCAGCAGGGTCCTCTCCTGGGGAGGAGGAGGGAGATGGAGGGGCTTGGAGAGGGAATGGGGCTGGCACGGGGGGGAGCAACTCCTTGTGTTTTCCAGGTGGATTTGAGTGTTTGCTCCAAGAAACATGATGTTGGAAGAGGTTTTGCTGGGCTGGGCCAAGCTCCCAGGCTCCTGCCAGGCCTGGCAGAGCCGCTCCAGCTGATTGTTTCCATGTCCTTCACTGCAGCCAAGCTGATGTCAGCCCTTGGGGAAGCAGAGGGAAGGAGGGGAGAGGGGAAAGGGGGAGAGGAAAAGGAGCAGTGGCTTGTGTGGGGGGAGAGGAACGGGGGCACAAGGAGCCAAGCGTCGAGGTGGGGGCAGGAGTGATCTCCTTACACCAAGGGCCACTCACATTGAGTGCAAAGTGCTGATGCAGGATTGGACCCCATTGTGTCCCCTTGGGAGGGGAGATAACCCAATGTTAAAGAGACACACCCCCCCCCAGCATGATCCTAGGGTCTCTCATTGCGTGGGGAATGAGGGAATGGTCCCAGCTGGGGGCTGCAGTGCCCGTGCGTGTCCTGCAGCCTGGGGCTGGCTGGGAGGGAGGGATAGGGACAGCTGGGATGGAGGGATGGAGACAGCCAGGATGGAGGGAGTGGGACAGCTGGGATGGAGGGACAGGGACAGCAAGGATGGAGGGATGGGAACAGCAGGGATAGAGACAGCCAGGATGGAGGTATGGGAACAGCCAGGATGGAGGGATGGGGACAGCTGGGATGGAGAGATGGGAATAGTAGGGATGGAGGGATGGGGACAGCTGGGATTGAGGGATGGGAACAGCAAGGATGGAGAGATGGGAACAGCAGGGATAGCGACAGCCAAGATGGAGGGATGGGAACAGCCAGGATGGAGGGATGGGGACAGCCAGGATGGAGGGATGGGAACAGCTGGGATGGAGGGATGGGAACAGCAGGGATAGAGACAGCCAGGATGGAGGGATGGGAACAGCAGGGATAGAGACAGCAAGGATGGAGGGATGGGGACAGCTGGGATTGAGGGATGGGAATAGCAGGGATGGAGAGATGGGGACAGCCAGGATGGAGGGATGGGACTGGGAATGGCTCTGGTGCCTGCAAAGGTATGGCAGGGCTAAAAACCAGAGGTCAAGGGGTTAAAGGTCAGAAGGTAATGAGGGTAAAGGTTAAAAGGTAATGGGTCAGAGGTCAAAAATTAGTGTCAACAGGTCACAAGGTCAAAGGTGACAAAGACCAAAAGGTCACGGGGTGCAAGTTCGAGGGCATAGGAGTCAATGGCTTTGAGGTCAAGGATTAAAGGTCACCGGGGTCAGAGGTCAAAAGGGTCGCAGGTACAAAGCAGAAAGGTCACAGATCAAAGGTCATTGACAAAAGATCAAACTGTCACCGGGCCAAAGATCAAAGGTCACAGGGTCAGAGGTCAAGGGCTTTGAGTTCCAACACTTAGGGTCAGAGATGTCATGGGGTCAGAGGCCAAAGGTCACGGGTCCCTTACACCTGATGCCATCCTGATGGCACCTAATCCCTGTCCCCAAGGCAGAGCTTGGGCACCCCACACCCCGTGCTGCCCCCACCTTGCTCTCCACCTTGCCCAGGGCCTGCTCCAGGTCATCATGAACCAGGTCAATGTCTCGGGGGGGGGGGCAGGAGGCTGCAGCTCTCACTATGGAAACAGCACCAGCACCCCAGCGATGGGGGGGGACACGCACCAGGACCCCCTGCACACACGGCATGGGCACAGCGGGGCTGTCCCTGCAGGCTCCGGAGCCGCTCACCCGCCCTGGCCACGCTGCGCCCATTGAGGTTCATGGAGGCCGTGGCTGGAGCAGCACCAGCTCCGCACCGTGAGCCGTGGCCAGCACCACACCGGCTCCGCACCGCCTGTCCCCCCGCCACCCGTCGGGCACCGCTCCAGCACCGCCATGCTCACGCTGTGCCGCGGCACACGCAGGGGTCAGCGGGGCTGGGCCCTGGGCATCATCGCACTGGCACCCCCCACCCTGCCCCTCAAGGCCCCGATACCCCTTCCATTGCCAAAGCCTCGAGCTCCCATCGGCTGGCTGGGTCCCCCCTCCTGATACCCAGTGCTCCCCTTATCCCGCTGCCCTGATCCCACTCTCCCCATCCCGATCCCTTTATCCCAATTCCCTAATCCCACTCTCCTCATCCTGATTCCTTTATCCCGATCCCCTGATCTCGCTCTCCTCATCCTGAGTCCTTTATCCCGATCCCCGGATCCCACTCTTCTCATCCCGATCCCCTGATCTCTCCTCAGCCCAATCCCTTTACCCTGATCCCCGGATCCCACTCTTCTCATCCCGATCCCCTGATCTCTCCTCATCCCAATCCCTTTACCATGAGCCCCTCATCCCGCTCTCCCCACCCCACTCTCCTCATCCCGATCCCTTTATCCCGATTCCCTGATCCCGCTCTCGATCCCCTGATCCCGCTCTCCTCATCCCGATCCCTTTATCCCGATCCCCTGATCCTGCTCTCCCCATCCCGATCCCTTTACCCCGATCCCCGGATCCCACTCTCCTCATCCCGATCCCCTCATCCCAATCCCCTGATCCCACTCTCCTCATCCCGATCCCTTTATCCCAGTTCCCTGATCCCACTCTCCCCATCCCGATCCCCTCATTCCGATCCCTTTATCCTGATTCCCTAATCCCGCTCTCTCCATCCCGCTCCCTTTATCCTGATCCCCTGATCCCTCTCTCCCCATCCCGATCCCTTTATCCCGATCCCTTTATCCCTCTCTCCCCATCCCGATCCCTTTATCCCGATCCCCTGATCCCTCTCTCCCCATCCCGATCCCTTTATCCCGATCCCTTTATCCCTCTCTCTCCATCCCGCTCCCTTTATCCCGATCCCCTGATCCCACTCTCCTCATCTTGATCCCTTTATCCCTCTCTCCCCATCCCGATCCCTTTATCCCGATCCCCTGATCCCTCTCTCCCCATCCCGATCCCTTTATCCCGATCCCTTTATCCCTCTCTCTCCATCCCGCTCCCTTTATCCCGATCCCCTGATCCCACTCTCCTCATCTTGATCCCTTTATCCCTCTCTCCCCATCCCGATCCCTTTATCCCGATCCCCTGATCCCACTCTCCTCATCCTGATCCCTTTATCCCGATCCCTTTACCCCTCTCTCCCCATCCCAATCCCTTTATCCTGATTCCCTGATCCCGCTCTCTCCATCCCGATCCCTTTATCCCTCTCTCCCCATCCCAATCCCTTCACCCCGATGCTCCCCCCCGGTTCCACCCTGACGCGCGCTCCCGCCGCACCCCTTCGCCTGCATCCTCCCGTGACGTCACTTCAGCGCGCAACCAATGGCCGGCGTCTCCTCGCCGCCATCTTGCTTACGGGCAGCGCCGCCATGCTGGTTGCGGGCAGCGGGGCGGACCGAGCTCCGCCCGCCCTCGCTTAAAGCCGCGGTTCGGCGCCGGGGCAGCCCGGTGCGGGGGCACTCGCTCAGGGGCGACGGAGCCGGCTCCCCTCGGCTGCCCCCGCTGCTGGGGAGCGCGGCCCTCGGCCCCTGGGTACCCTCCAGCCTCGGTGCCTGCTCCCGGGGCTCGGTGCCTGCTCCCGGGGCTCGGTGCCTGCTCCCGGGGCTCGGTGCCTGCTCCCGGGGCTCGGTGCCTGCTCCCGGGGCTCGGTGCCTGCTCCCGGGGCTCGGTGCCTGCTCCCGGGGCTCGGTGCTCCCCAGCGCGTCCCTGGGCTTCGCTCACGGCTCTTTCCCTCTCTGCAGCTGGGCTGCTGCTCCTGTGGCCGGTGGGAGGACGCCATCTCCTTGCTGTTTGGGGGCCTGCATCCACAGAGGGTAAAGGGTCCCCGGGACAGGGATGCATCAGTGACATGGCTCCCACCTCCTGCTGTGCTCCGTGCCCGTGGCTTTAGCACCCAGCGATGTGCTCTGCAGCGGGTGAGAAGCGCTGTTGGGACTCAGAGCCCCAGTGTCCCTCATGCACCAGCACTGGCTCCTCTGCAGAGGACATATGGGCCAGATACCAGACTGGAGAGCATCTGTCCCATGCTGCTAACTCCCCAAAGTCCCACTGCATCCATGCAGCTGAAAGCTTCCAAGTGAGGAATCCAGGTAAAGGACTGCTTATTTCATAAAAGATTCTATTTTAAAAATAGAAGTTGGTAACAGCTCTGGAAGAGGCAGAATTCTGGTGCCATCTAAACCACCAGCTCTCGGGCAGCGTTCGGGTGATGTCTAAAATCACTGTCCCAGGAGCTGGAATGGTCCCAGCTGCTGGCAGCTCACTGCAGTGCAGGGCCTGAGCAGAACACTGGGAAGTGTCCCTGTCCCCATCCCTATCCCTTGGGTAGTTTTTTCTCAGTGAAAGATTCCAGCTCCTCTGACCTCTTCTCCCATAACTGACTGCACAGAGTGGATTAAAACCCGGTGAAAGGCCAGTGGTGCTGTGCATCCCATGCTCTGCAGCATGGAGCACTGATCATCCTCTCTATTTTGTCCCCAGGTCCCCTGCTGGAGAGTGGGCACTGACCCAGCCAAAACCTGCAAGATCTGACCAGCAGAAGGGTGTGCAAGAGGCTCAGCAGCTCCCAGCACCAGCTCTCGGCCTGCTGTACAAATCATCACTGAATAAAAGTGATTTTCAAAGCCTTTACTGGCACCATGGGCTTCCCTGGAGGTAGGACTGAAGTTTCCATAGCTGGTAAAGCAAGTGAGAAGTCTTTGTTGTTGTTGTCCTGCTTTGCTGCAGGGAAAACTGTTGCACCTTAGGGGAAAGATGGACAAGGGGGTGTTGCCATCTCCCACATCCACCCTCACGCTTGTGGATGGTGAAGCTGGCCCCTACCAGCACCCTTCACAGTGAAAGGAAGCTGGAAAGAAGCTGGCTCTAAAGCTTCCTTGACAAGAAACCGTTGCTGCAATGCTGAAGGTGTTCACAGGCAGTGCTGCAGGAGTCAGCTCTGTCACGTTGTACCACAGAGCTGAGGCACAGCCACCCTTAAGAGGGTTTTAAAGCCTGTTAAAATGCTGTAGGAAAGAGATACTCTTCCATGGGCTCAGAATCTTGCTGTGCTGGGCATCAATAGCTGCCAGGAGAGGGGAGAGCTGCAAGTGGGTGCTGCTGGTAGGGGCACAAACCTCCCTGACACTGCAGACCCTCTTAGCATCATCCCCTTGTTGTCACAGATGTCTTGGGTGATGGATCCACCCTCACCTGGGCAAGGGTACACCAGTAAAGTGCTTTAAATCACATAGCTTGGTCCCACAGCTGCATCCTCAGGGCTGGAAGGATGAGTTTGGGAGGAGAATGCCAGGAGGGAACATGGAGCTCCCACTGCTCATCCCACCAGCCCCGGGCTCTGCTGCTTTGCAGCTCTGCAGCCATTCCCTATGGCTCTGAGCAAGATCACCAATGACTACAAGAAAAAGCTGATCCGAGAGGCCACTGTTTTGCAGCCTGTCGATGAGAATATTTTCTCCTCTTCTGGGAAGTAGGGAATGCTGTCAGCCACCTCCTGCACAACACCTGGGCGCACTTCGAGGCCTTGTTGCACCAGTTCACTGACCACGCACTGCTTCACGTGGTGGTGCTTCAGTGGGAGGAAGGGCACAACAAAATCAATGAGACTTTCATTGATGATCCCAGATTTCCAGAATCCACCTGCAAAAGCAAAGGAAGAGACAGGTTACAGGTTTTACCCTCAAAGTCTCTGCAGTCCCTGGGGTTCAAAGGCAGATCTGCTTTAGGTTTGTACAAGGGGAGAGTTGAACCCATCAGTTGTCCCCCCCTTCATCCCCCAATGCACTTGTTCTCCAGGAACCAGGAATTTAGCTTGGCTACTCCGAATTTAAGCTCTTCTCCCTGTGACAAGGGCAAAGCAAGGAGAACCAGGGCAGTGGGGATCAGTACATCTTGGTTCACTTGGTTCAGTGAGTGTGCTGTGCTGTTTGCCATCCCACAGCCACCTCGTCTCCAAAGAACTCTGCTGCACATGGCAACAGGTCTGCTGGCTTCAAAGACCGGGATATTCCTTCCCTTTGCCAGGAAACCTCCAGGGAATTGCAGTTCCCTTCCCTCAAAACCCCCTCGTCCCTTTCTGGCTGCCTGGGAGGTGGCAGATGGTGTCGGTGGCTGCCTGGAATGGGCCGGGCTCCCTCTGCCGGGCTCTGATCCCGCAGGAAGGGCTCTGTGCCATGGACTCACTGTGAGGGTTGTCAAACACGGCTCTGGAGACGGCCGGCTCCAGGTCCTGCAGGCTGATCTCCTCCCGGTCCTTGCGGGCTTGCCACAGGTCCAGTGTCATTGCATTGATCTGCTCCCCTCCTGCGTTGCTGCACGAGAAGGAGATGCTTGTTCAGTGTCTATCCAGGGCAAACGGTGCTGCAGGAGAGGTGGCACCTCACACCCTCCAGCCTGCATGAGGGCAAGCCAGGATCTCCCGCTGCCTGGCCTAAAATGACTCCTGTAAAGGCAGCCAAGTAACAGGGACAGAAGAGCATTTTCATGCTCTCCAGGTCTGTATTCACAATGAAACTCTGTCTCTTGGTATGTTTAGAGGCTTAGAGAAGGCAAAGCAGAACAAGTGTGTGCTCTGAAGGAGGTGTGATCTCTGCCCAGAGGAGAAACACTGTGCTGGGAGGCCCTGTGATGCCACAGGGGAGCTTCTCTTACCTTATGAAGATGAAGATGGCTTTGCGGTAGTTGGTCCCGTACACAACCCACGAGGGTCCCAGGAAGGGCAGGATCACGTCGATTAAGCCTGGGTGCATCTTGTCCATCTCGTCAAAGAGGAAGGCTGAGCGCCCACAGCGCGTCAGGTTCCCTTGGATCCAGTGCTTCAGGCTTTCCTGGGAAAGATACCACCAAGCCATAAGGCAAGGAGATGCCAAAGGAAGTCCAGAGCCAAGGCCTGAGCTGCAGCAGAGCTGAAGGTGCTGAAAATAGTCTGTCCCTGCACAGCACCACCTCCCCAGAGCAGGAACAGCCAGCACAATGCCTCCTGTATTGTGGCTTTCACACAGTGGCTGTTCCAGGCTTTATGAGCCTATTGTAGATGTTTTCTTATGGATTTAAAGGAGGCAGCAAACTAAAGCTGGGGATTTACTCCTACAGCTCCCTACGTTCTGCTCCCAACTGCTGCGTGCTTTTAGCTGGCTCCTATCCTGGTGGAACACCATGACCCAGGAGAGTTCTGGCTCTTTAAAATGCTGAGGTTACTTCAATGTGGATGCCAGCCCACACAAACCCACTCATGTCATCTGTGGGCATGCATTTACCCTTAACAGCACTGCACCCAGTATGGGGTTTGCCTTCTTGAAAGCGTATCTTCAAGGATGCAATACAACAAAACTCCAAATGACCAAGTGCTCTGCTGGGAGTTTGCCAGGTAACCTTCAGACTTTGATTTTCCCCTTCTCAGCCTTAAGAGACAGAGTGGCACGGTCAAGAGCCTAGAGGTGCTGTTCAGGAGCTGCTCGCTGTGCAAGGAGGGCATTACAAGCCTCAGTGATACGCAGGCTTCAGTCATCAAGCTGTTGGGAAAGCAGTGGGGGAATTTTAGTGCCTTTCATCTAAGCAAAGCACTTCTGTCTGTGTGTTCAAAGGGCTGTGTAAATATTTAAGGAATGAGAACGTGATCAGGGCCAGGACTGCTGCGGGGAAGATGAAAGTGATCTCGGTGCTGGAGTGTATCACGGTTACTAGAGGACCCTTCAGCCAGTGTGTGGAGCCACTCACTCAGGGTTTGAGAGGGTGAAACAAAGAGCTGTTATTGCTGCTGCACTCCAGGAAACAGCCCAAGTGTGGATGAACTGAGGAGCAAGACGTAACCAAAGAAAACCCAACCAAGCAGCACGGTGCTGGAAGCATCCCTTACCTTGTCCTGCTCTATGTGTGGCATCCCTTACCTTGTCCTGCTCTGTGTGCAGCACCCCTTACCTTGTCCTGCTCTGTGTGCAGCATCCCTTATCTTGTCCTACTCTATGTGCAGCATCCCTTACCTTGTACTGGTCTGTGTGCAGCATCCCTTACCTTGTCCTGCTCTGTGTGCAGCATCCCTTACCTTGTCCTGCTCTATGTGCAGCACCCCTTACCTTGTCCTGCTCTGTGTGCGGCATCCCTTATCTTGTCCTGCTCTATCTGCGGCATCCCTTACCTTGTCCTGCTCTATGTGCAGCATCCCTTACCTTGTCCTGCTCTATGTGCAGCATCCCTTACCTTGTCCTGCTCTATGTGCAGCATCCTTACCTTGTCCTGCTCTATCTGCGGCATCCCTTACCTTGTACTGCTCTGTGCAGCATCCCTTACCTTGTACTGCTCTATGTGCAGCATCCCTTACCTTGTACTGCTCTATGTGCGGCATCCCTTACCTTATACTGCTCTGTGTGCAGCATCCCTTACCTTGTACTCCTCTATGTGCAGCATCCCTTACCTTGTACTGCTCTATGTGCGGCATCCCTTACCTTATACTGCTCTGTGTGCAGCATCCCTTACCTTGTACTGCTCTATGTGCGGCATCCCTTACCTTATACTGCTCTGTGTGCAGCATCCCTTACCTTGTACTGCTCTATGTGCTCAGCATGGGGGAAGTGCACGATCGGAGAGAACTGGTGCACGTAGGGGCTGCGCAGCCCTCCCTGGAACAGGTAGCGGATGAGCATGGAGCTCACGTAGGTTTTGCCGGTGCCGGTGGAGCCATGGAAGGACATCACCAGCGGCTTCACCGGGTTCTGCTCCGCCAGGAACTGCCTCACCGCCCTCACCACCTGCTGCCTCGCCAGCGGCTGCCCCACCAAGCTCACGGCCAGCTCGCACTCCAGACCTGCGCGAAGGCAAAGCAAGGCTCGGGCTGAGCTCCCCCTTTGTCAGCGAGCGCCGCTCGCTCCCTGTCACCCAGCCCGGCACCGCCGGGTGCCGCTCCGATCTGCGCCGCACCGACATCCCTTTCCCCCCCGCCCGCTCCACCCCTGTCCCGCTGACCGCGCAGGTCGGGCCCGAAGCCGCACTCGCAGTCGTCCGAGAAGCCGCAGCGCAGCGCCCGCAGGTCCCAGGAGGCGGCGGCGGGGCGGGCGGCGGCCGCCAGCACCAGCAGGACCAGGGCCGGCACCGGGACCGCGGCCGGGGCCGGGGCCAGCGCCGCCGCTCCCGGGGCCATGGCGGCCGCCAGCCCGCTGCGGCCCCGCCCGGACTACAGCTCCCGGCGTGCACCGTGAGGGGGCGTGGCCTGAGGCAGGGGGCGTGGCCTGAGGCAGGGGGCGTGGCCTGTGAGACGGGGGCGTGGCCTAGCCCATACTGCCCCGCCCCTTGCCCTGGGGTCCCCGGCCCCCGTTCCAGCGCTGGGGACCCCGGTCCCCGTTGCAGCGGGGCACAGGGCGCGCACCGTGCAGTGCCCCCAGGGCCGGGTTCAGCACTGCAGACCCCATCAGCGGCCCTGCCCTGGGATCTGCTCTCCCTGGGGGTCTCGGGGCTCGTTTAAATGATACCCACAGGACAAGGGGTCCCCGTGGGAACAGCATAAAAGTTTATTGTATGTAAGAACCGAACCCGTGGGGTATGTACAGGTATTTACAGGACAACGGATGAGCCTATTTACAACGAGAGCTGTCCTTCACGAGTCTGTACATCAAGGAGCGACCATGACAATGTATTTACAAGTGGGGTCCAGCGGCTCTGGGCGAGATGGGGAGGGAAAGAAATGAAACCAAAGGGCGAAGTGAGGAGCACGGTGTAGTCAAAGACCTCGTTGGGGCTGCATGGGGGCCTGCACAGACACTGTCCCCATCTCTTGTCGCATCCTGAGGAGGCGGATGGGAGATGGAAGGTGCCTGCTTTTCCTCCTCTTTGTCTCAGTATTGCTGACCAGCGGCCCAGTGACTTTCCAGGGCATCTCTCCTCTTCTGGTGCTACATTCCTGGCCCCATCCCTCGCCCCATAGACCAGGCTGGGAGCTGGGGGTCACAGCTCACTGAAGCGCACGGCTGGCTCCAGCTTGTGGGACAGGGCAGTGAGGACTTTGTCGAACTTCTCATAGCGCTCGGCCTGGCTGCTCTCAGCCCCACGGCTGCCCCACAGCAGCCGCAGCTGGAACTCGGTGCTGAAAATCTCCAGCAGCTCCGCTCTGGCCTGGAAACCTGCAGAGAGGGAGAGTCAGTCCCTAGGGATAATGGGGAACCCACGGGATGCTCCTGGGCTGGAGCAGAGGGAAAGGGGCTCCGTGTCCCCATGGCTTACCCTGCAGCTTCACCTCCGCGTTGGTGTGGTAGAGCCCGCCGTGGTGGGCCACCATCCGCGCCGCCTCCAGGTGAGCCATAACCACCTCCACGCCGCTGTCACTGGCCTCCCAGGGCTCGGGGTTGTCTGTGAGAGCCTCATCCCGCTCCAGGAGCGTCACGAGGGGCACGATGTGCGGAAAGGTGGTGTTGGTCAGCGGCGGCCCTTCTGTGGGGAGAGCCACAGTGAGGACCCTGTGCCCCTGCATCCCTTCCCCATGGAGTCAGGCTGTTCCAGGCAGCGGGCTTAAGGCTCAGCTATAGCACAGCAGCAGCTTTGGCTCCTTATTGCTGTGCCTGAGGCCATCACTGGTTCAACACCAGCACGTCCCAGCTGGGCTTCCTGGTTGTGCCAGGAGGGGAACGCTGCTGTCCCTGCTCTGTGTCTGTGTTTGCCAGGGCTGCGATGGGGAGCGGAGGGCTGGATGGTGGAGAGATGTGGCTTTGCATCCTCCCGACTCGCTGCCCCATCCCCATGCGAGCGCAAGGGCTCGGCTCTGCCGCTGGGTTTGTTTAGTTAGGAAATGCTTCCTTGGGAAGGAAGGAGCAGCCGAGGCCAAACGGGCCCTGCGGGGTGGCTCCGCAGCCACAGGGAAGCGTCCGGCGCTGTCTGGGAGAGGGGCAGAGCTCCCGAACACGTCCCCTCCACCGAGGCTGTGGATGAAGGGGGAAGGAGCAGGCGGGCAAGAGAAGGGGAGCTCCTCCCTTTACCTTTCCCTTCGTTCAGGTTCTTCAGGAACGGCTTCAGCTTCTTCTCGTAGAGGATCGCGCCCTCCGTGTGCCGCTGCCGCAGCACCATCCAGGTCTGCTCCAGCCGGGAGATCTGGAAGCACACGGGGCAGGTGCTGAGCTCTGGGATCTCAGGGTGCTCCCAGGGGCGCACAGCCCGGCCCTGGAGCCGTGCCCCCCCCCCCATCCCTGCACAGCGCAGCGCCTGCTGCCCCCCAAACCAGGCACATCCCCAGCACCGAGCCCGGGATCAGGATGTGTCCCCGCTGCCCGTGCCGCAGGACAGCAGCTCCGCAGCGGCCTTGAAGATGAGAGGCAGGGAGGGGGCAGCTCCACCTCCTTTGTGCGGGCAGGAAGCAAAGACTTCCCAGCTGGGCTCCATTTAAAAGTGGATTTTAATCTCCTTTCGTCTCGCAAAGGGAGCAGCGTGGCCCGGAGATGCTGCTGCCTTGAGACTGGTGTGCATTGTACTGCAGGGCAGATTCATTTCCTCCCAGGAACACAGCCCAGCACTGAACAAAAAGCCCAACCGCTGACAAACAATTGGATCCCAGCGGGATTGGGCTGTGTGCTCTGCGGAGGGGACAGCTCTTCCCCTTCCCTGCTTGCAAGGAATCAAGAGCATCAACTGCGTTGGAAGAGACCTTTAAGATCAAGTGCAGCCTTTACCCCACACCTCCTGCCCTGGGTGTTTTCCCCTCTTCTCCCACCCCAATGGGTGTCAGAGCCTGCAGGATGTGGGGAGTGGGATGTGTTAGAGGCTGAGCCCAGGCTAAGAGGATGAAGGGAGCATCCCTGTACCTGTGTCATTTCCAGGGCGTTCATCACAGCCGCGAAGCTGAACATGTTCCCCATGGTGCCCTTGAGCTCGGCTGCCAGCTGGATGGTTTTGTGGAGCAGGGCTGCCCTCTCCTCCGTGCTGCCCGTGCAGCCCAGGATGTCCACGGCGATCATGATGGACATGGTGTGAAACCTGCCGTGGGGAGAGACGCAGAGTGGGGTCAGGGCAGGGGGAACGGGGATGCTCCGGGGATGCTCCAGGGCTCCTCCACCCCGTGGGGTGCAGAGGACCCCCCCCCGTGCCAAGCTGGGGCCGTCCCATGGGAGCTGTGCCATCCCATGCAGTACCGTTCCAGCAGGTCGAGGCGGAGCTGGTGGCCATGGGGCAGGGTGAGCAGCTCCATGCCAGAGCTCACCCCCATCATCCGCTGCATCTCCGCCGTCACCCCCAGTATCCGGGCGACCTGGCAAGGAAGGGGAGAGCTGATGAGAGCTGTGTTAATTGAGGAGAGGCTGAAGCAGCCTCTTGCCCCAGCACAGTCTCTGCCTGCCCTGGCTGACACAGGGCAGAGCCCAGCAGGGATGCTCCATGCTCGGGGTGCATCCCGCAGCGATGGGAGGGCAGCAGTGCCCATCCCTCCCGCCTGGCCCCAGCCGTACCAGGCAGTCCACTTTGGTGATGTGTTTGGCCAACGTCTTCACATCCACCTCTGCCAGCAACTCTTTGACCTTCTTGAGCACAGCCATCTCCAGAGGCTTGTTCTCCATGGGGATAAGCAGGGACTGGAAGGCTGCGGGGTTGAAGGAGGAGGTTGTTTCCATGGTGGGGGGCACAAAGCCCACATAGTCCAGCTCTCCCTTCAGCCTCTGCGCCGCCTCTGCTTCCCTGGAGCCGTTCTCTATAGTCCCTCTGTGTCCTTCCTCCACCTTTAGCCTCTCCACGTAGCTCTTTGTTGGGAGCTGCTTGGTGTCGTGAGCCGGCCGGTCCCTGCTCATGGGTGAGGTGGGATGGAGCTGGCAGTAGTGCCCCGTGTCCGGCTCGCTGTAGCTGTTCACGGAGGGAGAAGGGGAGGCACGGGCATAGCCATGGCACGGAGTCGAGTGGGAGCTGTGGGCAGGGTCTGGCAGGGCTTTGCCGCTGTTGCCCTGGCACAGCTGGGGCTCGCTGGACCTTCTTATGACTGGAGAGGTTGGGGCAGCTCCAGCTGTTTGGCAGGCATGGGGCTTTAGCCGGGTAACTGTGGGGAGGAGAGGAGATGCTGTTATCGGATACACACGTGTAGGGACCACGGCTGCAGCAGCCAGCCCCAGCCCCAGCTCCAGGCCTCTGCCAGGACAGTTCTTTGCCATGCACAGAACCACACACTGGGGCTTCTCTTTACAGCCAACACCGTCCCCTCCCCAGGTCCCTGCATCACACCCATGCCAAGCCCAGCCTGACCCACGTCCCCCCATCCCCAGTGGGATGCAGGGGTGATGCCTACCCGTGCTGTAGGCGGGTGATGCTGGGTTCTCGGAGATGGGGGACATCGGGGAGTGCAGGTCTTGGATCTGGTCCACGCTGACGGCGCAGTTGCGAATGATGTCTCTGTGGTGGGGCAGGGACACGCTGGGGAGGGGGCAGATGGGACGGGTTAACTCCTGCAAACAGGGGCTGGGCAAGGGATGAGGGTTTGCTGCCCCATCACCTTCTTCCACAGCCACCCATAACGAGCTGAACCCGTAACGAGCTCAGCTGGAACAAGTCCCTACAGGCAGCTGGGAGGAGAAGGGCTCAGTGCCTTTATAAAGCAGAGGCAGGGCTGCCTTTTGGGAGCTTGGTTGTGTGGATCACTGGGAATGGATGTCCTGCTGCTAAGGTACATGGGAAGGGATGGCTCCAGGGTGCTGTGGGGAAATGGCCCTAGGAAAGAAGCCTGGGGGTGGTTTCCTATGGTTGTGCTGCAAGTGGTACCTGATGGACGCATTGCTTTGTTTCCACCAGAGAGCTGTGCTGGGGTGGTTTGGTGAGCTGCTGCTCTGACACAAAGCTCAGGAGAGGTGGAAAGTGCCTGGAAGCTGGCCCTGGAGCCCAGCAGGCACCGATGGAGGTGTTGAGGTGCCTGGGTTGGTGACCTGCAGCACACGTGCACAAGCAGCTGCATAGCAAGAAGGTCTTGGGCTGGTGGGGCAGCAGTTGTGGCCTGATGCAGACACTGTGTGTCAATGGTGCTGCACAAGATGCTGTGCACAGGGAGGGTTGCAGGGAGGCATGGCAGGTAACTCACTGCCATGGGTGAGGAGTGGGCTGCTGTGATGCGTTCAGATTTGAGTGCTGAGCCTCTGTGGTGGAAGCAGGATGGGAGAGCAGTGCAGTGATAAGAGGTCTAGGGAAAACGTGAGTGATGGGGAC